CAGTCCAGTCAAACAGGCCTTCTGTTTTCTTGTCATTAAGTCCAATCCAAAGCTCATCAGTGGAGGCTGCAGACAGAGGAAATAAATAAAGGAATGGCTATTATACATCTATATATCTATCATTACTTTATAGCACTTCATATACTTTAATTTATGCGCTTAGTTTGCAGATTCCTTATTGTGATTAAAAGGAAAGACAAAAAAGTTAGCTTGAATTTATGTTCAAGTTAGCAGTTAGATGGTTTTGTCACATGTAAGAAAACCCCAAACTAAGAAACCACCAGAAGAAAGATTGATATAAAAATTGGGGTACCATAACCAAGCTCAGTGGTGATAAAACTGTGGTCCTCCATATTGCGAATGCTTGCAAGGTCCCCTCCGTCTTTACGACAAGTCTGCTGAGCACCAGACCAGCTTTGCGCATTTCGATAAAGTTGGAAGCAGTGGCCATTGTATGGAACCCACGGTGCTGAACAATGTCCCATGTCAGGAACTGATTGCAGGATACACAAAAAGGAGAATGTACAAATACAAGTTCACAACATCATAAGAATATTTTATTTCCCCCAGAACTAACGATAAAAATGTTCTTACCCGCCGTTGGAGAAGCCAGAACTCCTTTACTGTAGCAGATGTAGCCGAATTTCTTGTTGCATGTTGAACTTTGCCATGCGTACCTTACGCTTCCATCCATCACTCCACAGGTATGTGCTGGATTATTAACTGGGTGTCCTACAACGACATGATGGACAACGTTAGGTATGTTGCAGCGTCACTTAACTATTTTTTCACATGAGGATTTCATTTTGTAATGTGTTTAGTTTTCTATCTTGACAGAAAACGATTGTGTAAATACAACGCTGTGAGTTTTTGTTGTTTCCAGAGGGACAACTGCTGTTGTATATAAATGAGAAGAACAGTAACTCAAAAGCAACACAAGCTTGTAAAAAGTTAAAGGAGAGCCATTTGTGAACCCTGTGATTTTTATTGAAATACGAGACTGAAAAATCTTACCTGAATCCCAATTAAGGTAACGAAAAGGGTCCCCATTAGACCATTGCCAGCCATGATCTGAATCCAGAGTCAGCCCGGTCCAAAGTCTGTATCCTTGGTGGGTACCTCCTGGCTCGAGCAACGCTATAAGAGTGAAATAAAAGAACATTCAAAAAGACAGACCTTGAAGAGCTCATGTATTCTCTTGCCAGTCTGAATTCTTGTAACCTGTGATGTAAGCCTTCTCCTGGGGGTCAGTGATGGTGAGCAAGGAGGCGCTCTGCTGCTTGCAGCTTGTTTCAGCCTCTGACCACGTCAAAGCAGACTCGGTGTTCAGTTGATAAAGTGCTCCACTTGTTGGATGTTTGATCCAGCTTTCCTTATCTGCAAAACATTATATACAAGTTCATCTAACTAAATAAAAAAAAATAAAAATAAAAAAACGTATCTGTCATGAAGACATCAGATAACATGTACGCATTCTCTATTTAAATAGCAATTAAATGTTATTTTTTCAGTAATTCCACAAAGAAATGTAACTTTTACATTTTATAGATTAGCTACAGAGTGAAATAATTCAAGCCCTGTGGACTCAAACCCAGCAAGTGCTGTTAGAAATATCAGTTCAGTCGAGTTGAGCATCAGCCCATATTTTGGGAAGCATCCAAAGACTCTTAAATCCTTTACAATCATCAAAGGTTAAACCTGTTTCTTAAGGAAACTTTCCTCCCAAACCCTTTCCTTCTGTGAGCAAAGTGCTGTGTACAAGCACTTTTATTATTGTTCTTTTGTAGTATTTATGTTTTATGATAAACCAGCCTTGAGGGTTTCATTCACTTTTACAAAGATTTACCAATTTACTGAGGTGGCATATTTATGTTATTTTGCTTTTCTTAAGTTTTTTTTAATTTATTTTAATAGATCAACATTCACTGATGATAAAGTGCTTATATAATTTAAAATGGCATAATAACATGCATTAAGACACTAACTGTACCATATTATTTTGATGAAAAGATTGTTCAGTACTCACTGTTTGTGGGGCAAAAGCCCCATGTCTGATGTTCATACTTCGTTTCAACAGAACACCAGGGTTGGCCTCGGTTGTTGGCCAAAGTGCAACTTGAGTACCACTGGTTTTCATAAAAGAAAGGGAACATGCAGGGCCTTCCTGCTGCATTGCCTCCTATGGTGTAAAGTTCTGAAAAATGAATTTAAAAAAATAGTTGCGATTAAGCACTCCGTTTGATGCTGATTAAAAATTAGTTGGATTTTGCAAAGAATGCAGTTTTATACCTCTGTATGTTCTTGTGCAAGCTCCACTGGATGTCCCAGATATCATGAGTTTGCTGTTGGGTCCTTCTGTTGTCACTAGTACAGCTCTGTTATCTGCTTGGAGCTCAACAAAAAGCCTCTGTCCCGTGCTCGCTTGGAGGGTGAGCATGTTGTCATTCGTACAGTTCCACTTCTGGAGCTTACTGTTTTCATCACAGTCATAGAGGTTTACTTCACTCATCGGAGTTGGTCCCTGGACTCCCAGACATTTATTTTTCCCAGGCACCAGCAATCGGTCAGCAGTTGTCCAGCGTATTTCCTGGCAAACGGAGTCCGTTTTAACCAAGCAGAAACCAGCTGTGTTGGTAAGTTGAAATGGTGAATCTGAAAAGAGAAATTGTTCCAAATGAAAAGCTCTCATAAATATTCCAGCATTCAGCAACTAGAAAATGTTTTGTCTATGTTATACCGACATAAAAGCAATAATGAGACACAGATTTCTATCTGCAACTACTGCTATTTAAAAAAAAAAAAACCTGAAACAGATTGAAGTCAAGAGTTGGAATACTGCACCATCTAATGCCAGGCACTCCAGCATTTTCAGTAGGAGCACAGTGACAATACATGTGCTCCTCATGATTCTTCTTAGACTTTCTCCCCAAGCGATCGCTTAGTCCATGTAATGTCTACACAAAATCTAGAAGTTGTGTTGGTCAATATGAAGAGATTGGGGTTTTTATCTGCAGACACATCGTGTCAAACCACGTCATCGCATCTTTTTTTTTTTTTTTTTTTATTCTTTCTAATTAGTCAGCGTTATGTCTGGTTTGTTTAGTGGCTTGTACTTCTGACAAACAAGTAATTACTATGCACTTCCTGAAATCTGAATGAGCAATTGGTTCGAAGAAAGACACTGTGGCACCAAGTTCTGCCTGTAACTCGTTCTTTGCATCCCAACAGACAGGAAAATATGTGCGTAAACGGAGACCGCAGACAGACTGACTTCCTGTGGTTGCAAAAGAGGTTTTTTGAGAAAGACCATAGCTTATCAGAAAGCCAACTGTTCAACTGGTCATTTGTCATCAACATCAAGTGCTTCTCATTAACTTGTATAACAATTTCGTAGAAAGTTAAAAATTCAAAGAGCAAGCATTTCAACAACTGCATTGACTTTAAGTTAGATGATTTTCAAGTCTTTGAAAGCTATCCGTTTTAGTTTCACTACTACAATATGTTATGTATCATACAAAATGAACAGTAGACAGTTAGGGATGTGATTTATTTTGTGGCTTACAAAGATTTAGACCAACATAGTAGAAGTCAGTTTCAGAAATTATCTGGAAACTATTGGGAAATAGTTGCAAAAAGGGAAGTCTTCATAATGCTGACTGCGATTTCTTTTCTTACTTCTCTGGAAAACATTTCATTAAGTTCAGTTTAAAACCCTCTTTATACTGGTAATCATTCAGAAGCCTAACTTTTATTAAAGAGAAAAACTTTATATTTCACAGGAATAGTGTTCTACAGACACAATGTTTGGAAATAAGCTTTTTTTTCCAAACACTGTGGATTTTCTAACGTTTTGTTTCTTAGGGACTTAACATTGACAAAGATTCACAAGTCTATGCAAGAACCAAAGCTGATTTTTCCACAATGTTCCATTTAAGTAAATGTGTGCATTGCCCATTGCAATGTATTAATGGCCATTGTTTTCTCAAGGCCATGGCAAAGTTTAAGAGTGGGAGAGCGCTTCAATAAGTGTGCTGTTAATTAATAAGTAAAATTGCACCTTTCACAGGTAAAATCATAGGCACAAAAAAAACCAAAACTCTTTTTTCTACTTGAATTTGCTAAGTTATTTAAAATTACTTATTAAAGAATGGCAAAAAGATATGGATGATAAACATGGAAAAATACTACCTGGGCTAACATTGCTAGATTATCCAAGCACATTAGCCATCAATTTATTCACTTCAATTTATGTTGTCACACATATTTAACACTGCAGAAAAGATTTAGGATCAATATTCATTATCCATCTTGTACGTTCTGTTCCTTTCTGAACATCAATGCACAACTGTAGCAAATGAAGCAAAAATGTAAAAGTAATACACGGAAATAAAAACTAGTAGGAATACGTTATAAAGTGAAATCTAAAAAAATAAGAGAAATAATTGCACAAGTAAAATGAAAATGTAAAAATAAAAAGAGTAAAATTTATGTCTAAATTCAAAAAAAATTGCTATGAAGATAAATTGAATTATAAAAAGTTGTCTATTTTTAAATTAATGGGTACATGTTAAGTTTATTGATTGATTTACTTTTTTTATTTTATTTTTTATTATGTCAGTTTCGATCCTCTATAAGAAAACCTAAATTTGCCATGGATATAAATAATTCTGGCTTAAATTGAAGTCTGTTGTTCAGATTATACTTAGTTAGCATGTGTTTATGCAGTGAGACAAGACCAAATAGTTCAGACGTTGCTTTTAAACCTAATCCACAAAGCAACATTGTGAATTACAGGCCACTTTATTTCCTACTTATCGTACCGTCTATTATTTACCCATTCTGATAATCGACCTTAACTTCAGCAAATCTTTTCTGTTAACGCCTTGAATTGCTTCCATTCAAGGATTGGTCTATTCCAATATTTGTACTGTGAGACTACTGTCTGCCATTGAATGCATCTTTTGGAAAATTAAATAAAAAGGAAGGCAAAACTGTGTTACACTTTCAAGTACATTTATTTTCAGCAGAGGAATAAACTGACTGTAAACATGCAGGGGAGCAAATATGCGGTGTTATCTTTTAACAATAAAGGATCGTATTTCAAACCAAAATTCAGAAACGTTCCTTGGGTTTGTGTCTGTAGTAGCTCTTGTGTTCTTATACAGACATCTTTGCTTTATATTGGCACTAAGCACTATTCTGCTACCTTGGAGTACAGTCATCATGAAACATACAGTATGGATCCATTTAGTACAAATACACTTAATGTACTTTAAAGATATGCATTTAAAAATTTTAACATATAAGCAGTGCCACTAAGCTCAGTCTAAATGTGATTTCTTTCGACAGAATTTGACAGGAAATGTCTTTTCTGATGAAAATATGTTGTACTAAATTAAGAGCTGTCATATATAAATGTGCCAAGGGAAAGTTTTTATGACTTCCTCTAACATGATTACAGTAGAAAGAAACATTCTCCCTCCTTTCTTTATCTTTATGCAGAGTTTGTTCAAAGAAATCAATAACTACAGAGCTGACATTGTTCAATCCTGAACAGATGAGGAAATGTAATAAAAAAATGAACAGTATATTATTGTGAAAGATTTAATGTCTTTTTTTAACATTGACAGGCTGTGTCCATTTTACATTCAAACAGTAAAAGCAATAAACAGCATCTAGAAAATGAGCTTCACATGTAGCCATTATATATACAATCTGCCATGGGTAGAGAAAGAACAAATACAGTTATTGTTAAATTACTGAATATTTATTGTTTGCATTAAAAACAAAAATACTGAAGCATGGTTGTGTTTACAGTAAAATTAATCTCAGACTAGTTTGCACAACTTCGACTTCTGCAAACTCCTAAATCACAGAATTAAAATGGGCTCTGGATTTTCTGGGGAGATTTCGGAGACTTCAGCATTCTCGATCAATTTATTGGTGTCGACCACATCAGGCTGAGATTTTTCGCCATTGAAGTACAGTGGATTGTCGAAGGTGGGGAAGGGACGAGGGGATCTCTTGTAGAGCAAGAAAGCGAAAAGAGTCATTATCGAGATGATGGCAATAAGCATCGCGACCACCAAACTTGTGTGGACACGACTGTGTGGATCGTCTCGGTGTTGAGGGTCTGCACATGCAACAAGTAGACAGGGATAAGCTTTTACTCAGTGCCATTTGACTGTAATATCAGAAGAAAATACAAGTAATCAAAAATTGCACAAATCATTAAGAGGTTTAACTTACTCGGTTTTTGACCTGCATCTGTCAACATAACTGTTCAGGAAAAAAAAGAAAGTGTGAAATAATGAATCTCTTTTCTTAAGTTCAGCTGCAGCCTATGTCTTGTAAAGTATGTAATTTAGAACGGCTTCACGGGAATTTACAGAGTTTATCAATTAATGCTCTTGACAGAATCAAAAGACAAAATAATATATGCAACATTTTTGAAGTTTTGGGTCCACACATCAAGATGCGTGGACTGATTTTAACAAAAATCAGATGCCGCTTACCTTTGGGTGTTTTACAGATGTACGATCTGTCGTGCCATCTGCGCCCTGAACTCCATGTCCCATCTTTAGTTGTTATGGCTCCAAAATCAGAATCCGGTTCATCTTCACCCCAGTTGACATAGTCAAGGAGAGTTTTATCAAGCCATGCCCACGACCCTAGGGACAAAAAAAAAAACGAAAAAAGAAAAAAAAAAAGAAAATGCTGACAACACTTTTAAAATTAAGGAAGTGATTATATTTTATGTTTCAGTTGGCTCAACTGAAAGCCAAAGAGGCTTAAAGCTGTTGCAATAAGTCGTACATTCTCAGTACAAATACAATTTAAACTTTATATAAAAATTAACAGGCTAAAAAACTTCTTACCTCTGTGAGTCTTAAATAGACCAACCCAAAAAGAGATGTGGCTGTCTTGAAATACTTGTATGTTGCTATGGAGAAATGCTTGCTCCATGGGATCTTCAATACTTGTCAGGACACCACCTTAACATCGAAAATAATTTGGTTGCAACAACTTCTCAGCACCTTCTGGATCATTTTTTACTCACGTTAACTGACCACGTAGTTTTAAAGAAACTGTTCTTACCATGTCTTACACAACTGCTAGCTGCATCTGCCCATTCAATTTCATCTGTGACAAACAGATAACAGTTGCCTTTGTATGGCAACCAGGTGTAACTATCCTGGTACTCCACATTGGTATCTTCAGGGCAGCGTCCAGGAAATACAGCGGACTCTGTAGGGGGAACGTCTGGAAAAGAAATCATTGATTGTGATGAACTTAAGTTAATTTAAACTGACCTACTTTCACATTCAGTCGTTTGTGTTTGTTTGCTGCTTTCTACGATCTAGAAGATAGCAACACTTTTTTGCCAAGACAGATCTTTGTAAATAAATGTGTTTTAGGGAGATTATTTAATTCTTTCTATTTTATTATTTTGTTATTAGACACACAACTATACAATCTTAAAGTCTTGGGGGATTTCTTTATAACTATATGATTGTACTTGAGAACAATTGTAGAAATCAAGAACATATGCTGTTATTCAAAGCTACAATAATGCCTTTTCTCATACAATCTTTATGAAAATGCTGTTTTACTTTAGAGACATTTCAAATATTTTCTCTGTAATAGATTTCAAATAGATTATTCAGTACCAAACAGGCCAAACCCATCTCCACATTTAACTGAAACCAGCCTAAATTGTTAAAATACAAAATAATATGCAATTACTTGCAGTCCAATTATAGTACAATACAGTCAGCTGAATGAAAACAGATAAATTAAAACTTGATATTATATCTGCAATTTGCACTGAATCACAACTGCATATAAATTTATACTGAGCAAACTAAAGCAACCAAATAATATTTGATGAGTTGGAGTAGCTGAATGAATTTTACATCATTTTGTTTTGAATCCTGCCATAACAGTCACACCTGTTGACATCATACAGACACTGTTCATAGTCTGGTTGCAGAAAGCTGTCCGCCATTTTCCATCCACATCGATATACACACACGGTTTATTCCTGCTTGGTTCAAATTCGGCCCAGTTGGTGGTGCTCAAGTGCCAGCCATCAATAAACCTAAAATAACCTTTTGTCTGAAAGCAAAGACAAATTTCTTATTAAGAAAAGGATTTCTTTTAAGCATGTTAGAAAACCCCAAACACAATTATGCATTAAAACCAAATTATTAAACTTTGAAACAACCTAGGAATGGGTTTCAGATCTCTGCAGCTCTTTACCTCATCTTTGTTAAGTCCAATCCACAGAGGAGTTTTGAGAGTCAAAGCCAGTAATTCAACATAGGCATTTGTCCACTCGGTTCGCAGGCTAGCCAGGTTGGCCTTATCATTTTCACACGATTTCTTGGCTTCGGCCCATGTCAGATTTTGAGTCACAGCCTTGATGCTGTCGTTTCCCAGACTCTCATAAGTGGTAGGACTGATTGGATCCGAGTTATCTTTGATAGCCGTATCTGATGGGAGCAAAGTAAAAGCAATTTTATTTTCAGTGAAAAGATGCTGAAGGTTATAAACCTCAAAATGTTTCCAAACCAGCAAAAGCTTGAACTCACTGAGATCTTTATGACAAATAAATCCGTTTGTGTCATTGCATGACTTTATCAACCATTTACCAATCCCGAAAGCTGAACTGCTGGACATCAGCACGCACTCCTCCTGATTATGAGTAATAAAAAAAGATTGATAAAGGTCATAGTTGTCTTCAAACCCTTAATAAGCAAAAATGGGAAATATTTCTGTAAGATTTATTTTTATTTATTACCTCATTCCATCTTTGATAAAATGATCCGGGACGTCTCTGATTTTTCTAAAGGGCAAAGACAGATGCTATTGATAAGAACTGATTTACTTGTATTATTCCTAACTAAATACTAAAAATCTTACATATCAGAGTGAATATATTGACTGATAAACAAGTCCTTATCAGTCAATATATATCCTTAGCCACATGAGGTCAGCAAAAACACAATTTGCTGCATGGAAACGTTTGCTTTTGAATCATATTCTTTTCATCTTGCAGTACATTAAAGCAAAAGTTGACAAAAATATGCATTTTAGTTTTTAATTTTAATAAAACTTATTTATAAGACAATTAGGAATTCATATTAACCCTGTTGATAAGCATAACACAGTAGTATCACTGAGAATATACTTACAGAATAACCCCAGTTGGTGTATTGCCGTGTTTTTCCATCACTCCAGAAAAATCCATCTTGACTTAAACTGTTTAAACCTATCCATAGATCCGTATTTGCTGCAGTAAGCATTTTGGTGATCAAGAATGCTGCAAATTCAAAGTTCAAATTTTAGTTTTTCTTTCAGACTGAGTATAGCAGGGTTTTCTTTTAACGATATTAAATATTTAATATGAGAGCAAACCTTGAACTTGTCGTGTAGGAATGGAAACTAATTTGGCATCAAAATTGGCGCACTGAGTTCTTGCATCTTCCCAAGTCACCTTGCGGTCACTCACTATTTTGTAACACTGTTGGCAACAAAAACATTTGAAACATGTAAAGAAAGCAAAGCTTGATGTTAAAATCCTACACAATATATATCCCAATAAAAGCCAGGCATCTGGCTTGAAAATGAAGATGCCACTTGGACCACACTGTCCATAAAAATCATTAGACATGATTCCGGCTCCATCCGCATGGTTGTGTCTTTGCCCATGGACACAACATTTCACCTGCGTTGCCTGCTAGTGGCCAAAAGCTGTGGCTCCAGTAGTTCGCCATCCTTTGCGTATGAAAGTTTGTGTGAATGGAAATGATTGATTTCATTGTAAAGCATTTTTGAGGGTCTGGATTAGCTGTATACAAGTCTGGTGTCATTTCAAAGGTTGTGATCTATAAAACACAAACTCGACGGGAGTTCTGCATCAAACTCTAACACGGATAGAATTTGATACAGAAAATCGCTTTCCGTCGTGTGTGCATGGATTTAATAATCTGTTTGCCATTCCTGCATATGGGCATACGTACACTTTTATTAGAAAGTCTATGTAATCCTTTATAGATGAGACACCAGTGAATTAATCATTCACTTGATTAAGGTTAAGAGCAGGGATGCATCCAACAGTTGCAGAACAGTGGCATTCATGGATTGCTGTTGCAGACTGCTGGCATAAGTTCACAATCTAATCTAGATTCTCTTTTTGGTTTTTTTTACCTTTGAACCAAATTTTTTCCATGTAGCCATACATCCACCTACGAGAGATACTGTTGGGGCTGCAGTGGTGTTGACAGGTGGTGAGTTTGATCTTTCACAGATGGACTGAGCCTCTCTTCCGCAGTTAGAAGTACGCCAATACCCTGCAAGGACATCATAGACTCACTGAACAGCATCTTCATTTTGAAGCACTATGTTCATATTTTCAGACATTTCAGTTAGAGTTTGATACCTTTTTAAAGATGCACATTTGTGATATCCTTACTTACCCATATGATGCCCCATCATAACACAGTTCTCATCAAAGGCATTGGAATTCGGCTGATTTTCATCCCATCTTTGATAAGACACCGGAGTATCATCCAACCACCTGGTGCCACAGACAGTCCAGTTGAGTAATGCATATTTATGTGAACAGAGTTTTCTATGGTAAGAATTAAACAGGGTTTTGTCTTATATTGGTAACTCTCCCTGGTCACAGATCATAAAAAGGAGAAAAGTCTGGAGGAACTCAAACATGGAACTGGGACATTGTTAACCGTTCTGGGGTCCTTAGATAAACAGAACAGGAGTAGTTTATTTAATGCAAACAGTGATTTAAATGTTTCTAAACCGGCATTCGCATCAACGACTGACGTTTTTGACTTCAGAATTGTTTCAAAAGGGCAGAAGTCCACATTTCTCTTAGCCATGCTCTGACTAGTTGCTCCAAAACATTTTTTTTTTTTACACAAAAGACAATATAAAAAGCAAATCTAATATCGAGAGACATTTACTGATCTTAACATCTTAACAGAACAGCTCAAACAAAACCTCAATATTCTCTAAAAATTCCTTTGACAGAGAAGAGACTCAGTAGCTGACAAAATATGTCCATTATTTATGCATTTTCCCCCCATGACTACACTGTCAGCTTAACTGAATCAATTATGTTCTGTCATAGTCAAATAAAAACAGAAAATAAAATTGCACAATTTTTATTTAAGTAATACACATAGCTAGTATGCATTAGTAAGTAATACTCACCAAAATGAGCCATCAAGATCCACTGATAAGCCTATGTACCACGATCCATAGCTTCTTGAAATCTGTAGAAGAAAAACAAAGTAAATGCTGCCTATGAACAGGCAAATATGCGATATAAGTGCTCTGTGTGGTAAGATGACTTTACCCACCTGTTTCCATAAGAAAATGTTTTCCTCTTTATTGTTGATTACTACCAAGTCGCCATGTCTCCTTTTGCAGAAGTCACGAGCCTCTTCCATAGATTTAGCCATTCTGTTCAGGTAATATTGTCTCCCTTTCCATATAAGCCAACCGTCAGATGTGGTATTAAATTCTGTAAAGATTTTGAACGGATGTGACGTTACTATTCAATTATTAATCTGGCATATAAACAGTAAAGACATTTTGGTTGGTGTTTTCTTTGCAACAATACTTATTAGCAATGGATATTGAAGAGCTTCTTATTATATGATGACAAACTTCTAAGGATTTTGTTTTATGGGTTAAACATCAGTATGTTAAGTATGCTAATTTCCCTCTTCCAGTCATGATTAAAATTAAAAGTAGTTGCTAGTTTTCTATGATAGAAATAATAATTAATCTGCATTCTTTTATCACAGCCCAGAGCTATCATTGTGAGTTAGACGTTCAATTAGTATGTTTAAAGGATTCAGCGTTTTAATTTTAAGGACGATGTCCAGGTAGTCTTACCTGCTGCTGTATTGTTGGGAGGTGGTTTTAGAGTTGCTCCTGTAAAAGCACAAAGCCAGTTTAGATGTTATGCAAGTAATTGTAGGAAAATATGCTACTTTCTTAATTTTTGCATTTGAATATCATCAGTATGATGTCACATTGTAAATTGTGACATCAGCCATTCAGTGAGACTGGATCCAAGTCAGGAACATTTTTTTTAATCTTTATATAATTAGGTTATATAAACAAATTTATCTAAAAACACACTAACCCATATGAGAGAGATTTAACCATCAAAATATATTTTTAGAAAATGGTATATATTTTTTTTCTTTATATTTTCTCTACCTGCTTGAATCTGACACAACCAGTCATTGTAGCTTTCACAGTTCAGATCATTCCAGGAGCCTTGCTCGTCCCAGTTATACATCACAAATTCAGTACAGCTTTCATCATTGTTGAAGTTGTTTGGTTCTCCTTCCTGCCAGTGCTGGAAGTTCAACTACAACAAAAAGAAATAGTAAGAAATGTTTCGTTAAGTTTATTTTAGAAATTGTTAGCTAAAACAGAACAGATTGATATTTGGGTTTAAAAAAAAGAAAATAAACTACTAACCGCACTTCCATCAGTCCATACATAACCGTTTGGATTTTCAAAGTGAAGTCCAATCCAAGCTTTGCCACCTCTGCTGAAGGAACATATTCACACAAGTCACAGAGATTAAAACTTTGGTATAAGATAGAGCTGTTGTTAGAGATTACAAAAAAAGTGAAATACAGAGTACCAGCATATTATTTGGATCTATCCTCCCCCCGAAACATGTGGTAAAACATATAATACCCAAGTGACAATTATGAAAGATACCACAACCTTGAGCTGGTGCTTGGTTTGTCTGCTATAGGTGCGACTGGTTTATGAAGGACTCCACAGTAACATTTATCACAAGAATTTCTATTTTCTATTCAAAAATTCCTTTCTGCATATAATTTATTCCTGTTAAAGGGTACCTATTAAATTAGGTGGTCTGTGGCTGTACAAAACATGCTTATTACATATTTTTTAAAAATCATTCACAGATCTGTCTATTATGACCTCCTGTAAGAATTAGATGTTTTAGGGCTAAGCTAAAAGAGGCAATGAATTCTACCTTTTGTTTCACCCTTGACCTGTTTTAAGGTGGAAACAGCACATCTCCTCTAAAATAATTGCCACTAGCTTTTAGCATAGGGTACTTTTTCTCATTTAATATACTTAACAGGGCAGCTCTTGTGTTTGAATGCATAGCTATATGCAAAAGGCTTTCCTAAAATGCATGTGTGAAACAGTTTGTAGCTGTGGGTAAATGCAGAGCTACTTGTGTATTGTGCTATTTTAGCAGATCTGTTTCTGTCTCATTTTAAAACTTGAAAGACTCACAATTTCAACTGTGCACAGATTTAGAACCTACAAATACTTTAATTAAATTACATCAAAATTGACAGAATGAAAAACAAAATCAAAGAGGGGCAACATAAAGCTGCATTTTCACTTTATTAATTTTATATAGGAGGGTTTAGGGGTTCCAAAAATAGTTACTGTATAAGCCTGTAGTTATTTTTAATAACTAGTCTTTTTAAGACCAGAAGTTTGCAGCCAGGAGATAATTGTAAATAAATACTAAGTAGCTGTAATACCTAATCATGTGACACTTTAAGTCCAACATACTTTTAGACACAGAAACACATTTAGTTATTTACTTGATATAATTAACATAACGTGTTACAGATTTAATCACACAGAAAACAATCTAAGGTTGTAAGGAGAACTCAAAGTCCACAGCATTTGGAATCACATTCCAGTATCTGTCCAATAAGCAGAACTGCACCAATATGAACAACCACTGTTTATTTCCATCTTGTTTGTGATTGTTCAGACATGAAATAGTGATCGAGTGCAGGATCATGGCAAATTTAACAGAAGCAGAGAAGGAAAGTAGACGGTGTGGTCATCATTTTTGCACGGTGTTGAAAGTGTAGGGAAATATAAAAACTACCGTAACAGCAGCATTTAAATCTGATATAAATATCAGCCCAAATTTTCATATCTTGCATTCCTGATAATTACTCTACAACTTAGAATACTTAACTGTGTAATAATAGCACACTATTTAAGTCAGTCTGGAGAAAAAAAGACACAAAATCTGATATATACATTTTAATAATAAAAATAAATAAAAGGAGTCTCACAAAGAAACCTATTAAATTAATGTGTAAGCTCCTGTTGTTAGTTTTAGCCTTCAACATCCTCAGTCATTTTAATAGATAAACGCTTAGTTTACTTTGCACAAACTTTTCATAGTCTTTATGTCCATGTGACCTACAGGATCATTGCCACCTTCCTATTACAAAGAAACTCTTGTCCCAGCCATGGACATGGTGCACACCATCAACCATTTGTTGCAACCGGGACATTAAGAAAGGACATTTATTTTCGGGTTTATTCATAAAGCTGCACTTGCACTTTAAAAACATCAGCTGCAGCGCTGTACCTGTAGCACAGTGCCACAGTATGTTTTGTTTATGAACGGATAAGAACCACTCACTAGGCAGCAGCTTGGGAAAGGGAGGACATCACATGAAAGTGAGACAGTCTTGATCCAAGCATCACATCAGGCAAATAAGGTATGGTTAGGTATGGTTCCCTGAAAAACGATGAAAACTCTGACATTTTCATCAATCAAAGAATGCCCCCTGGATGCTTTGAATAGAATCTGAAAAGTGGGCGTGTCTGGGGAAAAAAGGACATTTGATCACTTGAAGTAACGTGTTGAGCAGTTACCTTGCAACCATTAGTTCAGAAGAGCTGTGGATGCTTAACAGGTCTCCTCCTATCGCCCTGCAGTAATCTCTGGCTTCAAACCAGGTCTTCTCCTCTGAACGTGGTCCTGTGAAAAACTGAACAAACAAAAAAAAAAAAAAAGTTACCTGGAAAATTATCACATTCACAAATTAATTTTAAGAGAACAGAATATTTTCGTGTGAATTGCTTTCACTAAGCTTCTTTTATTTACCTTCGCACAAACACTTCTTGTCCCCACTCGATTCCAACCGTCTGGACACTGGGGAGGAGTTTGAGTTTGGGGCGGTACCGTTGAAACTACCCCCTCTGCCATGCATTTGCAGATGTATTTCTCCTTGTTGGTGCAGGGCAGTATGTCCCAGAGTCCAGCCAAAACCCCAGTCGCCATAGCAACACAACCTTGTTGGTTACCTAAATGATTCATGAAACGAATGATATTTTTATTTTTGTCTGTGTTTGTTTTGTTTTCTGCTTTGTATGCCTTAAATCCAGAGATCCATACCTGGCATTCCAGAATTCCAGTGAGTAAATCTCACAAACTCTGTATTGGTCCAGGAAAAGATATCAAGGTTATTCTGATTAGAGAGACCGATCCAGAAGTGTTTCTCCGGTCTCAGTCCCACCAGACTCACAAGGAAGGCATTATCCACCCTGTCGGTATTTATAAAAGTTAATAAATCTGTGCTGATAGAGTATTTATACTTCATCTATCAGTTATGAAGGTCGCTGCCTGGTCTTAAGCTTTGGGCTTGAATGTTAAAATGTTTCTGAACCACTGTTGCAAGTCAAATTGTTAAGTAGAGATGGGTAAATTTTAATACCTACAGTCTGCCTCAGAAATATCTAGAGGTTAGTAATTAAACACTATGAGGATTGTTACCCATTTGAGACATCAGCTAAGTAGGAAGCTGAGCTCTGGCAGTCTTCTTTAGCTTCATCAAAGGTTTTGGTCTCAGTGCCCACAAAGTAACAAAAAGAGCCATGTCTTCTCCAGCCCTAAAAAGATTAGGTCATTGATTAGAATCAATCATTAATAGCCAAACTTGTAATCTTGTATTCTTTTTTCATGTAAAATGACAGATTCATAATTCACTAACAATTTTGCAGCCGGCATCCAAATGTAACTCTATTACATCTCCAGTTCCGTCAGTGGCACTTTGCTTCATACAAATATATCCGTGCTTTTCATCGCAGGATCGGTCCGCCCAATTTCCATTCTGCAAAAAATAAAGTGATTTAAAAGATGGATGGTACTAAAACCATTTACATCAATATATGTTTTTGAAGTGTGTTTGGTAATACTACAATAAAGCATTTTTCTTTTAAAAAGGAACAGCTTTTCCTTGCAAAAGGAAAAGAGTGATAAACAACCAAAAGTTGTGGTCAATTATCACAACTTTTTGGTGCAGTTAGCAAGGCAAAGCTTTTGCATATTCAATAAAAAAATAAACATAATGAAAATTGTGAAAGTATAACACAGTAGACAAAAATAACAGCAGTGCTTATACTTGGGTGTTAGTTTTGTTGCTTCTGTTCTCTGATCCTGATTCAAACAGTAAAAAATGTGATCAGAAGCAAAGTAAGAGGTGCAAATACAAATTACTCTGAAAATATTATCTTTTGTTCTTGTTTATGTGAGATTTGATCAATAAATAAGATTTTATTTGAACAACTTAACTATTCATCAAAACAAATGTATAGCAGGAAATATACTGCTCAAAAAAATAAAGGGAACATTTCACTTTAATTTTGTGTGTGGCTCCAAATCCAGGCCTCCATTGGTTAATAAATTTGATTTCCATTGATGATTTTTGTGTGATTTTGTTGTCAGCACATTCAACTTTGTACAGAACAAAGTATTCAATGAGAATATTTCATTCATTCAGATCTAGGATGTGTTATTTGAGTGTTCCCTTTATTTTTTTGAGCAGTGTATATACACATATGCAGAAACTAAGTACATATGGATACCACAGCGTAGTATACCCCAGTCAGGAAAACATTATATGAATTGGAAACTGGGTGAGTTAACTCAGAACCTTGATATTTTAAGGGGTAAAAGAACAATTGGTTGTCCCTTGTATAGTTATAAATTCCTTTTATAGTGATATGCATTCTGGTCTCTTCTGTCTAAGATGTGCAAAAATGTCTAACAGTTATTTGAATATTATGCGAAATATACCTCTCCTTTCATGAGAACGCAGTCTTCTTCATCAGTGGACACTGTGGGTTCTTCAGGCTCCCAGCTGGTGAAGGTGACGGTCGTGTGGTCACTCCAGTCAAACAACCCTTCAGTGGTTCTGTCATTCAGTCCTATCCAAAGCTCATCAGTAGATGCTACGGACATTAAAAGTGAAATATTTTAATCTTGTACTTGTAGATTTATGGAAATAATCATGTCTGAGTGCGCACGTGTTGGAATGTGATTGTTTTCTCTTCATCTTCATCAACTGCAGTGTTTGAAACAAGATTTTAAATGCAGGAAGCAGCATGGCTTCATGGGCAAACTTATGTCCTTACATGTAGTTTGAGTCACAGGTTGGTAGATTCACAGGTGTTGTAAGCAGAATGCACAATTTGTAAAATGTGTGAGGATTTATTTTTATTTTTACTAAAGCAGATGGACTCATTTTGTTTGCCGTTATACATCTTCTAGTCTTGGCTGTAAAATTTTATGCCACTCAAAATGAAAATGCATACAGAAAATACCAAGGTTAACCTTTCTAGTGCTGAAAATCATTTTAAAAATCTGATTTAAAAGTAATTTTTGGAGCGCAAAGAGGTTGATCTTGCCTCCTTTTTTGTTCTTTTAAGAGAAAGTGACTACCACATGTGGACAATGACATGTCTTCTCCTTCTGCAGTGTCTGATGAACTATTTCTTTATGTAGGACAAATACTCTCTTGCTGATGTGGAAAATGCTTTTTTCAATTGTTTTGCAGTGGAACCGAAACAAAAGATCAGCACGCAATACTGTGATCAAGTATAAGAATGTCTTGTACCATATCCAAGCTGAGAGATGACGAAGCTTTGGTCCTCAATGTTGCGTATGTTCACGAGTTCACTTCCCTCTTTGCGACACTCTGTCAGAGCACTGGACCATGACTTTGGGGTGCGCTGAAGGTAAAAACAGTGTCCATTGTAAGGGATCCAGTGATCTGGGCAAAGTCCGTCTTCAACTGATGAAAAGAACAAACATACAGAGACTGAATGACAAAGTTCTTTGAAGTAATAATGCAGAGAAAACACAAATGTAAAATTTTTCAGTGTGAAGTAATTTTCAGTACATCGTGGTGGAGCTGGCGGGGTTCCTCCTTTATAGCAGATGTAGCCAAGTTTCTTTGTGCAAGTGGAACTTTGCCACGAGAACTGGCCAGCAGTGTCAAGAAGCGCACAGTTGTGTCCAGGGTTAGGAAGTGGGTGCCCTGAAACAATATGGTAATTTAAGTCAAATTTACTCTTAACTAGGGAAATTATCAGAAAAAAAGTACCATCACATATACAACCATAACATGCAGCTAGTCAGAAATGAGTAGTTATGTTTTTGAAGTACATGCAGAACTTCACAGAAATTTAAGCAGAAAGGTAGATTCTCATTAAACAATGTATTCCAATTCACCCCTAGTTATGCATGCAATCTAGCTTAATTTATAATATCAACTGTTGAAAACATATTATGTTTGCATTGAGTCACTTGATTTACAGCAATCTCTGCTCCAAGAATATGGCAACAGTGGACATTTTATTCCATTTAGCTTTTGTTTCTGCATATTTGAGCCATTTTCACAGATCTTCATTGTCACAAGAGAATATGACTACGTTCGCTGATGCTCTTATAAAAACAACTTGTGCTTCAAAAGTCAACCTTGAAGCAGGAGGGTGTTAGGTGCATCAATCTCCCTTTTTGACTGATCAGCCTGATTGGTCTTCAATCAAACAATGGGTCCTGGAAGAGCACCATCTCCAAGGCCATTGTTCAAGTGATAGTCTGTCACAAAAGGCTAAAAATTTTACCCATCTCTTTGTGGATGTGACACAAATCAAAGATTAACAGCTGAGCAGGTAGTTTAATACAGCCTGCAGCAACAACTAATGTAACTTTAGAGTAGTAACCAGAAATTTGTTGGCTTTTACAAAATTTCTGTAGCAAAAATCAGCCAGAACATTAAGTCTCCATGACTAGCTAAAAATGTGTTGTTTTTTTTAACAAACTCATGGTAATATGGTACCATTTTAATTGTAATCTCACGATAAACAATCCAATTAATATCGTTATGTGATTTGAAATAATACAACTGAAGAAGGAACATTAAACATTCAACCTGAAATGGCATCACAGCTTTTTTAATAAGAGAAACATTCGAAAGGGAAACAATAACGCAGTCTAAATAATATGAGCACGAATGTTATGGTGTTAATAGAGGTTTTCTTAAATTTTAGAGAAATCTTATTGTTAGTATAAATTTTTATTTTATAAAAAAGACATCTAATGACAGTCACCATAATACTTTCTAAGGTTTGTAGTAAGTTTCATCTAAGTCTCAAATATTTTATGACTCTCAGAAGTTTTTTCTCACAACATAACTTCCTGCAGCTTCTGATCAGATAAGTTCGTCTAAACATCACTTGAAAAAATTATGAAAAGCTTTAACTCGGTAAGACTTCAAATGTCTGGGTGTTTTACGATTCAAGCAATGTCGTTTTTGTGTCAGGCTATAGTTTACCAGATTTTTCTGCATCAAAAACTTTGAATTTCTTAAAACAGGCTGAATTAAAGTTTTTATCTGGTTACAGATGAGTCCTTTCATATTGCTCAGGAAAACTCTACTTCTGAGATGATCGATGATCAGATAACTTACCGGCATCCCACTTCATGTACCGGAAGGGCTTTCCGTCGGTCCACTGCCAGCCATGTTCTGTGCCCAAACTCAATCCAATCCAAAGCTTGTTTCTTCCTGTTCCTGTTAGTCCTGAGAGTTGCATAATGTTTTTATGGCAGAAAGGGTAAAAAAAAAAAAAAAAGGAAAAGAAAATGAATACTTAGTTCCTCTTTTTCATTGCTTAACAGCAAAACTGCACCACTACAATATTTTCTATGTAGACTATTTATCCACAGATAACTAGCATTTAATGTTGGAGTTTTGATGACATTGAAATAATATCACTAAATGATAATTTGCTAGGACAAGAGGATGTAGAGCAGGGGTCTTCAGACCCAGGCCTCAAGGACCAGTGTCCTGTAACTTTAAGATGTGTCTCTGCTTCAAAACACCTGAGACAAATAATGAGCTCATTAACAGGAGCACTTGACTGCATCCTGAGGAAGTAGTTCAGCCATTTAATATACATGTGTTGGCCCAGGGACCAATCCAAAAGTCGCAGGTCATCGACCATCGAGGCCAGGATTGGAGAAAAATGGATAAATGATGGATGAAACTACAATACACGAGAAATTCGCTGCGAAACTTGTGCCCGTTTTTTTAAACGGTGCATACATCTGCATGGCTCCTGAGCTCTGTGATCAAAAGGTATGGGCTTTAATCTTCCTAGGTTACTTTTCCCCTTCTGTCATCACTTGCTTACAGTTACATAAGGACACGGAGAACATTTAAACATGGAGGAAGGGCTGTTAACCCAATGACATGTGCACAAAAGGAGCTTAGAGCAGCTAAGACTTTCTGGCACTGGCTACTTCTACAGCAAGGGGTCTAGTAGGCATGTGTTTTTTTCCCCCTTCTGTTACTTTTTCTTAATAAAATGATCATTATCAAGAAGGAATATTATTCCTATTAGTTCAGTTTTCTCTATTGTAGTTGTTGTTGCCTCCCCAGTTTCTGCCTTTTTAAGTTATAGCAACTATTTTAAAAACACTAGCATTGAGGTAGCATCATTATTATGCCATGTGGTGAAAATATATAAAAACACTTCATGTTAATAAAAAAAAAGTGCAACGGGGACCAGTTAGGTTACAAAACTAAAACCATTT